TTTTTTCTGGTACCGGCAATCGAACTGACGACCTTGCGCTTGCCAGGCCGGCGCTGTGCTGCTGAGCTAAATCCCCAGCCCCTAGCCGGGTCTCTTTCGCTGGCCCTGCCGCAGCCACTTTTTGGGGTCCCACAGGTGGGAGGGGGCCGGGGTAGAGGAGTGCACCCATGGTGGCCCTAAAGGCTTTCTGGGGGTGCTGCTGCGAGGCCATTTCAGATCTCAGTTGGTCAGTGGCCACCCCAGGCCTGATGTGGCAACCGCACCCCTGCGCCCCGCGCCAGCCCTTCGGACCCACACGCGCCCCAACCCCCTGCCATCTGCCGCCACCTCACCGGCAGCGCGGGACACTGAGCTTCCCATGCGGACCCGCTGCCCCTAGAAAAATGGGCCTGGGTTCTGGGCACCGGAGGAAGGAGACTGAACGTTTGAGATCAGCGACCCCACCACGGGTGTCATCCTTTTGGGTCTCCCTAGCTCCCGGTCACAGGGGATTTCTGTGTCCTTCTCCTCTGTAGGAGCTGCTGGTCAGCTCTGTCAATCAAAAGAGAAATAGTCCATAAATAAAGAAAGGGCCCCTGTGAAATACAATGCAGCTGGTTGGGGTGGGGTCACACAAGATTGTAAGGGAGCAGAGGTGGGGATGCAGGCCTGTAGTCTCAGTACTCTGGAGGCTGAGGCAGGAGGACTGCTGCAAGTTCAAGGCCAGCCTGCATTACATAGTGAGATCCTGTCTTACCAAAAAAAGAAAGGTAAGGAAAAGCTGTCACTACATCACTGACAGCAGGGGACAGCAAAACGCTGCCTCTCGTATGGGAACAGGCCCATGGCTAGGAAACAAAAGCCTGGATGGAATTATTCCACTATGCTGAGGGTTGTCACCTCAGGGTAAAACTAGGACTGATTTTCTTCCTGTCTTCCACTTTAAAATCATCCCCATCAAAATAAATAAATAAATAAATAAAATCATCCCGATCGATGCGGTTCTGTTCCTAATGTAAAAACCTCTGCGCCTGGCTGGGGGTGGACGCCGTCGCTCTGCCCGAGCTGCACTTTGCCCTCTGGGCTTCTCATCCGTGTACAGGACGTGCGCACAGGCGGGACCCAAGGTCTACAGTAGGGCGAGGAGCCTCGCTGTGGGGCACATCCTCCCCTTGGTCTCATCGCCTGTCTCAGCGCCATCCGCCATCCATGCAGAGGATGTGGCTTCCAGCTGGGGCCCCAGCTGTGCTGGCCGAGCGGCTCCCGCCACCGCCCCCAGTCGAGTCGGGGGGGCGGGGCTTCCGACCCAGCTGCAGCGGGGGACAGCAGCCGCCTCCCTCTTCCACCTGCACCCTTCAGTGAGTCCGAGCAGCCTCGCCACACTCGGCTCCTTCCCAACAAAACCAGAGGGCGGACAGTCTTCAATTTCCTGTAAGACTTCCCGGGTACGAAAAGCATCACGAAGGAAACGGGAAAGAATGCCACTTTAATTATTAAACTGCTCCGTCTGAACTTTTCCCTCTGACACTCACTGAAATTAAAAATAGAAATCAATTTCTGCAACCTTTCAAATGTCAAGGTTTTAAAAATTATTTTACAGCATCAATTTACATATAAATACAATCTGTACAATGTGTTTGTTCACTGAACAATCGGTGAGCTTCCTTCCCGGAGCGGATATGACTCTGAGACAGGCCGGGCAGGATTCAGTCATGGCCGCTTTAGCGGGAGACATTTCAGCCTGAGAAAGAAAACAGAGCAGAGGGGGAGCATAAGTCAGGTACGAACTGAAAAGGTGTGTGGCTGAGCTAGCAGGGAGGGCGCTTCTAGGTCAGAATGAAGAGAAAAAAAACCAAACAACTGCCTAAGGGCTGAAAATGCCACATCGTGCCCTGGGGCACAGTGGTAAGGCTGCGCCTGGAAAATACGGGGTGGGGGTGACTGCCACAAGGATGCTCGGCTTCATCTCTATCATCACCTGCTTCTTCTCTTACCCCAAAACATACAGAGGCCTGACCGCCCGCATCTTAGACCGGCCCCACTGATAAGAACAACTTCTGGTCCTGGTTTCCCTCCCACCTCATCCATTTATGAAGGAATTAAAACAGGTTTGCTCCAGGGTCGTCTGCTGGGAGTGGTGGAACTCGGGAGGCTGAGGCAGGAGGATCGTTGCGAGTTTGAGACCAGCCTGGGCTACAAAGTGAGCTCAAGGTCAGCCTGAACTGCATAGCGACACCCTGTCTCAAACAGATTAAAAAAAAACATAAAAAACAACACGGTCATCACTCCAACGCCCTGGCTTCGTACACACAAGGCCATTCACAGCAGCGTTCTCAGGGTGCAGCTGGGTCACCCTGGTCATCTCTGCTTCGCACAGGAAACCAAACATGCAAGATGGCAGAGCAGCCGGGTACGCAGTGGCACAGCCACACAAAGGGGCTCTCCCAGCCCTGAGCGTGACCCAGCCACGGGCGCTAGCAACCTCCTAAGCCATGTGCGAAAGAGACAAGATGAAGCTCCTTTAGAAGAAGCCTGGAACCGCCAAGAGCAGTCAGCGGGGACACAGCCCACGGGAATGGCTGCCTCGGAGGTAACGGGAGGAGAGAGGACGGGCGCTGTGCGCAGTGTGCTCAGGTGGCGGGAAGTGTGGCGCCCCGCCTCACGCTCTGCGCGTTCACACAGGTGCGGACAAACGGCTGACTTGACAGCGTGGCATTCCTACGGCATTCGGGAATGGGCAGAACTAGCAGACAGCGAGTGACAGGAAGCGGAGCAGCGTCGGCGGGGCGCGGGGAGGCGGGCTGCAACTCCAACCAGGCCGCACTGCCACTGAAGAAAGTGCCTGGGACCGCCGCCAAGAGCGAGGCCCCGTGCCAGTGTGGGAAGCGGGACGCAGACCACGCGGTTGTGAGCCTCAAATGTGTCACATGCGGGAGACACACAGAGTTGAGACACAGAGTGGCGAGGGCCCTCGTCCAGTGATGGCCCCCCACTCCCTGGGGAGGCCCGAGAGGCCTGAGGGTGAGCAAGAGGCAGGAGAACTGCACCCCAGAGAGGCGAGCCTGCGTGTACGGAGAGCCCTCCGGCCTCTTCCTGGGCCAGGGGCCACCTGCTGTGGTTCAGTGAGCGTCCCCACAGGCCCGTGCACGAGGGGCTCGGTCCCTGGCATGGCGCTGCGGGGGACAGGAGCACATTTAAGAAATGCGACCTCGTGTAGGTCACGGAGGCTGCGGCCTTGAGGGGTCAGTGGGACCCGCCTCTGCCTGTCTTCACCTCCTGGCCGGAGGCAGGCAGTTCTGCAAGGGAGGCTGACCGAGCCCGCGCACACATGTGCATTTACAGGAATCCACGCTCGCACCCGTTGTATTTTTGGATGGAGAGGATGCACTGTCTGCTCCAAAGAAATGAATGAAAATGGAAAAGAGGTGGGACTTGACTTTCCTGATAGCAATACTACGCGGATACAATAATTAGGACGGGGCAGAGACACACAAGAGAAATGACAGAGAACCCGCAGGCACCCAGGGATTTCGACATCTCAGTGACGCTGGCCTTGGTGAAACGCAGCACTGGGTGGGCGGAGGTGGCCCCGAATGCCCTGTTGCTCCTTTCCTCTTGGGCCCACAGCCGGGCTGCCCTCCCCAGTCCTGGGCTTGCCAGGAATGTTTGTGATTTTTGTAATTCATGTAATAAATAGTGCTTTCATTATTTCAGTGGATACAGGTATTGTATTTTATTTTTTTGGTCTTTTTGAGACAGGGTCTAGCTATGCAGTTCAGGCTGGCCTTGAGCTCACTGTGTAGCCCAGGCTGGTCTCGAACTCACAACAATCCTCCTGCCTCAGCCTCCCGAGTGCTGGGATTATAGGCATGTGCCTCCACGCCCAGCGGATACAGGTATTTTAGAAAGCACACGGACAATATTTATTTATTGCAATTGTTCATACCTCTCAAACTTATGCTACACTGAACTGCGTTTATACTAAAAATGTCCAGCTTTAAAAAAAAAGTCCAGCTGGGGATATAGCTAAGAGGTATTGTGCCTGCTTGGCAAGCACAAGGTCCTGAGTTTGATTCCCGGTACCAAAAAAAAGGTCCAGCCAGGCACAGTGGCACACACCTGTGATCCCAGCCCTCTGCAAGAATGAGGAGAGAATCACCGAGTTCAAGCTCGGCCCAGGTAACTGAATGATTTAGGGAGACTGTGTCTCAAAATAAAAATGTAAAAAAGGGGCTGGGGATGTAGCTTAGTGCAGAGGCCCTGGGTTCCATCTCTAGCGCCACGCAAAAATAAAAAGTGCACAAAGGCGTGTGTTTAGGTGCGTGGGCAGGTGTGTGGTAACACGGAGAGGTAACCGACATGAGAGCGAGGCCTAGGTCACCGTGGGGAAAGGAGCGGCGCAGCAAACTGACCAGAAGCTCTGGGAAGCTTTAAGCAAAGGTGTGGATGTTCACAATAATGAACACATGTTACTTACGATTAAATACTAAAGTTGTTTTAAAAGTCTACTTAATACACAAACTCATTTCTGACATTGGCATCTAAGCAAACAGTGTTCAGGGAGCCTCTGACTGCGGGCGGGAAGCCTGCCCGTGCCTACCGTCGCAGCAGCTCCTGAGGGGACAGGTCGGGGGTCCCCCCTCCGTCACTCTGACTGTCTTGGCTGTCGGTGCTCTCCGAACTGCTGCTTTTCTCTGATTTTTTAGTCTTTTGTTTGCTTTTATGTTTGTGCTTCTTGTGTTTCTTTTTCTGGAAAAAGAAAAGGAGATGAGGGCTAGGGGTTTAGCTCAGCGGCACAGCACCTGCCTGGCAAGCACGAAGGTTGTGAGTTTGATTCCCGGTACCGGAAAAAACAAACAAAAAAAAAAAAAAAGAAAAAAAGAAAAAAAGAAAAGGAGATGAGAGAGGAAGGAGATTTCGGTGTGAGAAGCTAGCCTGGACACTCGGGGAGGAGCTGAGTGGCAGAGCTGTCGCCAGCACGCACGAGGGCCTAGCTTGGTTCCCAACACCATGAAATACAAAAGCACACACAGGCATTTAGTTGTTGGAATCATTCAAACACAAAGCCACACACTGAGCCTTGGGCTAACACAGGCAGACAAGGGCAGAGAGCTGGGTACGCCCCACTAGCAGACATGCCAGGACCCCATCTTTCTTGATATTTAGCTGGAGTGTATGTGTGTGTGTGTGTGTGTGTGTGTGTGTGTGTGTAATTTTTTTGTGGTGCTGGAGATTGAACTCAGGGCCTTCACACTGAGTTACACCCCAGCCCTTTTTATTGTTATTTTCAGAGAGGCTCTAAGTTGCCTGAGGCTGGCCTCAAACTTCTGACCTTCCTGCCTCAGCCTCCCAAATACCTGGGTTACTGGCAGGACCACGCCAGCTATGCAGCCCGGTCTTCTCTGCAATGATCAGTGCTACCTCCTGTGATTTGTCTCCCCAGGCACCCGAGGGACTGCGCGGTAGAGGAAGGTCAGGGGCAAGCAGCTGGGACAAATAGGGAAAAGAAACTGGCAGGAGGGGCTGGGGATTTAGCTCAGCAGCACAGCGCCTGCCTGGCAAGCGCAAGGTCGTGAGTTCGATTCCCGGTACTAGAAAAAAAACAACAAAAAAAGAAACTGGCAGGAGGTCAACAAGCAGCGGTGCCCTCCCAGAGCAAATGGGATCCGGCCTTCCAGTCCTGTCTCTGCCCTGGATGAGGACTTTGGTGAGCTGCACACCCAGGAACCTTTCTCCTCGGGAGCCAACGCTGGAGCGGTTTCCAATCTGTTCTACTCCCAGGCCAGACCACACTGGGGACCCCACAATAACGAGGACCAGGTTAAAAGCCTAAGGAAGACTCGGATCATGAGACGAGTGATATCCATGGTGGACGCGCAGCTACTCTCTCAAGTTTCCTTCAGTTCCAGTGGCAAGCTCTGGACCACAGGCTCCATGTCTAATGACGTTAAAGTAGTTGAGGCCAGGGGTAGCTCAGTGGTAGAGGGCCTGCCTAATAACGTCTAAGGTTCCAGCCCTAGAACTATTTTTTTTTTAAAAAGTAACCAGGCAGGGTTGCACACACCTATAATCCCAGTACTCTAGGAGGCTGAGGCAGGACAATCACAAGTTTAATTCCAGTCCGGTCAATTTAGTGACTTAACACACCCGGTCTCGAAAAATAAAAAATGGGCCTGGGATGTAACTCAGTGAGAAGGCCCTGGGTTCAATCCCCAGTACTGGAAAAAAATATTAGTTGAGAAGTACTCAAGGTACCTTCATTTTAATACAGGATGAATAATCAATAAGTACTGTTTTATTATTCAATACTCAGCCTTTACTGTAAATGCCTTAAATGCCCCTTTTCCCTACTTCGTAGTCTTCAACAAAAATTAAATTTTGAAGTACAACTCAACAAGTGAAATATGCTGCTCTGAGAGAAGCTTCTGAGAAACCCAGCATTTGTCCTGAACGGCAATGTTTCCGCCAAGGCACGGCGGGGCCCAGGTCCCCCACAAACTCCTTTCCGACTGACACGCTCGGGGCTTCCCTGGACCCCAGAAGCAGCAGCGCCAGGCCGCACACCAACCCCGGGACGTGCGGAAGTTACTCACCTTTTCCTTCTTTCGTTTGTGGTCTTTCTTGAGCTTGTGTCTTTCTTTGTTCTTTTTATATTTCTCTTTTTGGGGAGTCTCAGGTTTCTGACGAGCATCTGAAAGACAAAGTAATAAATGTGTGGGAATAAAGACTATTAAAAAAGTAAATTCCTAAATTGCTGAGCTGGGAGTCCGCCATGGGCGGAACGCTTCCCCTCGAGGCAGGACTCCTGCCCCTGGATTGGCTTCGGGGGCAGTGATGAGCAGATTAGCACAACACACTGTCACCCCTCAGTCAGGAATTGGCCAGAAGCCTTAATACAGCACTGTGCGACCCGAGCAGGGTCCTGCCATCCCCCACCTGCCATACGACACGCAAGGACAGGAAGTCAGGACAGGAAGTCAGGGCAGGAAGCCCACACGCCAGCTCCAGTGGGTCCTCAGTAAGCGTCACGCCAGACAACACCTGAGGCCTGGCTGATTCTGGCCTGTGGCCCAACCTCTCGAAATCTCCTTTCCCACTTTAAAATGGGGATGGCTGGGTGTGGTGGTGCACATCTGTAATCCCAGCACTCAGAGGCTGAGGCAGGAGGATCATTTAAAGAAGTGTGAGGCCAGCCTGGGCTACATAAGCGAGTTCAAGGCCAGCCTGAACTACACGAGAGACGCTGTCTCAAAAAAAAAAAAGTACCAATAAAATTAAATAAAAATAAATTAAAATAAATAAAATGGGGATAACAAGAATCCCTACTCACTTAGGGACATAAGGAGGACGAACTAAGATCAGGCACATGGATCCTGCCTCAAAAAACAAAACAAACAAAACAACACAAAACAAAATGGCTGCAAGTGAATCTCAGTGAATTGTTATAAATGACTTTATGGGTAGCAAGTGAATTGTTATAAATGACTTTACGGGTAGCAAGGACACTCCGAAAAAGAATGGGAGGAATAATAATGAAGGAATAATTATCTCATGAAACAATTTTCAAGTGTTGATACCAATTTTAAATTAAAGATCTAAACAACTAAATCGAGTGAAAAATACATCTGCTGCAATTTTTCCAAGCTGTATACTTTTCTCTGCTTTCCAGCATCTCTTTGAAAGATGGGTTAATTAACCAAGTCAATATTTAAGCGTGAGGACGAGAGGAAAGTAAGAGTGGACAGTGGAATTACACGCTATCTACAGGTCTGGGTCACATTTTCAGATGTTAATGAGTGTTCAAAGAGGACAAAAAGCCGTCTACACGTGGCCTCAGGAGAGGCACCGACACGCACCACACAGCAGTGGCTCACGGACACGGAGAGGAGCGCGGATAGTACTGTGTTTGCTTCATTAGCCGAAGTATCAAAGACTTAAAATATTCTCCTCCTTGCAATTCCCCTGCCGTCTCTGTACGTAAGATTCTTACTTTTTAAAAAAATCTCTGTAAGTGATGAAATTTAAGATGCTTAGGACCCTACAAAAACCATCTGAAAATTAGACAGGGCAAAGTCGAAAGGTCTCCGGTGCTGCTGAGCGACAGCGACCACTCAGCACTCGGTGGAGACGGCCGGTTTCGAAGTGGGACCCCAAACGGAGAAACCCGAAATAAGTAGGCCGAGTGGGCCTGCAGCCGGATGAGAGGGACACTGGCTGTCGCCACGCTGTGAGAGCTGTCACATCGCAGGGGAGACCGTGCTGACGCCGGCAGGCAAGACAGGAGCTCTGGACTCACTGGGGCAGAAGACGGGCGGCAGCCGCGGGCCGAACTCTTCCCGCTCCTCCAGCCGCATCTTCTGGATCGGGAAGGGAGGCGCCGGGGTGGGCTCCGGGGGCTCCGGGGGCGCCGGGGCGGGCTCCGGGGGCGCCGGCTCAGGAGCTGAAAACAGAGGAGGACGTTCACTGTCTGCCCGTATTACTGCAGGTTGGTCTTCCATGAGCCCTCTGCCACCAAACATGCTTATCATCCCTTTGCTTAAGTAGCTCAGGCCAGGCGCCAAGGACGCAATGAACCTGGCAGAGCCACCTCTGCCCTGAGCCGCAAAGCCAGCTACTGGAGGACACCTACGGCCAGGCGCACCGGGGTGTCCTGCCGAGAAGAGCTGAACCCCGGGCGCCACCCAGGCCGCTGAGGAGCTGAGGGTCAAACGCACCCCTGAGGCGGGGCCGCCGGACAGAAATCAGCACTCACAAACACGCGGGACCTAACGTGCCCCCTCCCAGAAAACTGGTGAGGACTGACGTCACTCCAATGAGCTATCGACAAGAAAGAAATGAAAATAAACAAGCATGTTCATATTAATAAGCATATTATTTAAGAGATGTCTACTAGAAGAGAGACAAATTGGAAAAATATGCATAAAAATGTTAAAAGTGGTTATTTCTAGGAAGAGAGATTATAAAGGACTGAAGCTTTCTACATTTCTCGTGTGCAGGGAGCGCGGGTATTGATCCCGAGGCCTTCGCACTGAGCTATATCCTCAGCCGTTTTTTATTTTTAATTCTGAGACAGGGTCTTGCTAAGTCACTAAGTCTCCCGCAGCTGGGCTCAAATATGATTCCCTGCCTCAGTCTCCCAAAGTGTTGGTGATACACACTACCCCTAGGCACTTGCATTTTAAAGACTTTGTAATTTTAAAAATGTTTTTTCCCCCACAGATAAAAAACATTGAATTTGGGATTACCTACAGACAAATAATATTTTCTGTGTAACTTTTTGATTAAAGCTCTCAAACATACTCAGGTCTATCACGACCTGACAGGAGCAGGCAGAACATCTAAGGTGTAGACAAAAACTGTAATCCCCGGCAAAGTGTCGCATGCCCTGGGAGGCTGAGGCAGGAGGATGGTTGTGAGTTCAAGGCCAGCCTGGGCTACAAAGTGAACTGAAGGTCAGCCTGAACTGCATAGCGAGACCCTGTCTCAAAACGACAAAAAACAAAACAAAATTTAAAAAACCTGTGTAACCACCCAGGCATCTGAAGGCACTCCCACCGCTGCGGTGCTGGAGCTCCTGGCCAGTGCTGGAGCTCCTGGCTGGGTGGAGAGAGTGGGCCAGGCTGGTGGGAACTCAAGGGCCTCAGGGCTCTCAGGACAAACTCTCTACCGGGATTCCCAAGAGCCAGGCAGGGCGGGCCTGACACCTGACCCACAGCACACCATATCCTTTGTGACCAAATGGCTTCCAACTATCCTCTCATCACCTCACCAGCCAGGTTGAAAAAGTGTATTTTTAAATGAAAAAGATTTACATTCCTCTCAACTAGGTTAAATTGGAAAATCAATACTATCAAACATGCTGACCTAAAATTACACAGAGGTTTATACTAGAAGAATTCTGGGCCTAGGCTGTAGCTCAGAGATAGAGCACTTGGCTGGCATGTGCAAGGGCCCTAGGTTCTACACCCAGCACTGCAAAAATTAAAAATAAAAAAAAAAAGGAACTCTGCTCTACTCAATTAAAAATATGTTAAACGTCACTGATTGCTAATTCCCCTGGTTTAGGATTTCAGACTGAGAACCAGCGTCTTCCCCTTTAGGTCCCCCAGTCTGAGACACTGACATACCACGGGCCACAGATGCGGCCTCCCCCACGGCCGTGTCCTGGGAGCCTCCGAAGGCGGCCTCCGCCGGACCCGCCTGCTCGTCCTCGCTGTCCTCTTCCTCTTCCTCCTCCGACGAGGACTCCGAGGAGCCGGCGAAGATGGCCTTGAACAGGTCCATGGGCGGGCGGCTCCCTTCTGCCTCAGTCTGCAGGTCCGCACCTCCATCTGCCGGCTGAGAGCCGTGGGGTCAGGAATGCGTGAGCCAGAGCCTGGGGAGCCCGGCATTCTAGAACACACTCGTCCCCACGCATGCCGGGCACGTGCGCACGTCGTTATGGCCGGGCTGGTGTACACGGTGTCCACAGCCACACGCCGCCCGACTGAACTGTGTCACTGTCGTGCCGTTTCTTTTTCTGATGCTTTTTTAGGATGTACTGTGTAGGCGGAACTGAACCCCTTCATAGAGACCGGTCATTAATCAGGAGTGTGGAGGGAGGGCACCCCCAAAAGAAGTTAAGCACGGTGACTCTGTCCTGTTTTCAAGAGATCTTTCAAGCCTTCAGGGCTCAATAGTTACAGTAACAAAGATAGCATGCTGGTGGGACTCACTGCAGAGAAGCCGTGCCCTCCACACCACCGGGACGGAGCCAGGACAGGTCAATCAAACGCTCACAAATCTTCCCTTGCAGATACTCACTGTGCTTCTTAAAATAAACCCAGGTGAGGGACATGCTGTCTAGCCAAAGGAGGCAGTAACCTTGTACAAACCAGGGCAGTACACAAGGGGCAGGGCTACGAAGCAGACAGACCACCGTTGCCAATGGCGTCGCCCGGATGGGGACCAGCAGAACTCAGTGCGGGCCTCGGGGACGGGAGATATCCCGGGATGGGCCTCACAAGCCACTCATCCTCCGAGTCCCCACGAGACAGCCCTGAGCCAACACAGCTGAAGATGCCTCCAGGCTTGTGGCCAGGGTGGCCTGGACTCTGATACCCAATCCTGTTCCCTCTTGGTCAGTGGCAACTCCCAAGGCCACGACACCTCCGACCTCTGGTACAGCAGCAAACACCCATACGAGGAAAACCGGCAGGAGACAGTAAAGTATGTAGTTTTAAGGCAAACTCTTCATTGAAAAAACAAAGAGGAAGAGTAGTGATTTTTTAAAAAGTCAGGCTGGGCATGGTGTCGCACCCCGATAACCTTAGCACTCTGGGAGGCTGAGGCAGGAGGATCACAGGTTGTTGTCTACCCTGGACAATTCAGCAACTTTGTGAGACCTTGTCTCAAAATAAAAAATAAAAAAGGGCTTGAGATACAGCTCGGTCTAAAGGCCCTGGGTTCAATCCCCAGTAAAACACACACACACACACACACACACACACACACACATGCCAGGAATGTGTCCGGAGCTTATTTTCTGGATATTATTCCCTATGAAAAACACCCACACACCTCGGAGCAAGGACTGATTCTGGAGCGAGGGGCTGGGAGAGAACAAGGTGAGCCTGCATCTGCCCCTGTGCCCAGCGAGCGAGGCTGTGCTCGGGAAACAGGGCCGAGATGTGCAAAGGCCCAGCCAGTGTGAAGGGGCCCCGGGCAGCCAGGCCGCCGAGCATTTGGGCACAGAAGGAAACACAGTCTACCTTTCTTCTTTTGTTTTTTTTTTTGGTTTTGCTCCGGTACCGGGAACCGAACTCACAACCTTGCGTTTGCCAGGCAGGCGCTTTTGCCTCTGAGCTAAATCCCCAGCCCTACCTTTCTTCTTTTGGATAAGGTCAGGAGCCATGGGTCCACAGTGCTATAGTAAATATGAGGAAAAGAATGACTACGTATTTCAAATGCTTCTCAATATTAATTTAAAATAATTAAGTACACATGTATAATAAATTAAGAAACAAAAGGCCTTACTGATTTCAAAAAGGAAAAGACCAAAACTTCACAGCAGGGAAGCCAGGCAGACCCCGCCTACACAAGTGACCCCAGAGAAGTCAGTGGGGACACACTGGCGACACATGCCTCCTGAAGGACGCGAGGACAGCACAGCAGGGATGCAGCCCCGAGCTCATCCCGAGGAAGCACCAGACCTGCCCACACGAGGTGCGGCCTGCGAAGTCCTGGCTGGAATACAAGTCCAGGTGCAGGGACGCACGCCTCGAGGCCCAGCTACGCAGGAGGCGGAGGCGGCGGCTCAAGCCCAGCCTGGGCAACACTTGCATCCCAATAATCAAATCAAGTCAAACACGGCAAACACACCACGTCTGTATCAACAAAGCTCCCTAACACCCCTTCGCCCTCTCCCGAAAGGTGTGCTCATTCGCATCTGCGTAGACCTGAAGCTTTCAAAGAAGGAAATGAAATAATCCAGACAGAAGAGGCATTCAAAGGATCACACAGCTACTAAGCAAAAAAGTGAGAACCAAGAGATTTTTAGGCAAAAACTATATAAATGCTATCTCCACATAATTTTTAAGAAAGTCGCGAAGCCTTTCCAGTCTGATCATATCGATGAGCCAGGGTCGCGAAGTGGGGTGTGTGCCGCTAAAAATGTGGCGGTGAGACAGGCGTGCTGGTACACACCACAACCCCAGCACCTGGCTGAGCCAGGGGCATCACAAATTCAAGCCCAGCCAGGACAACTTAGCAACTTAGGAAGACACTGCCTCAAAATAAAAGCATTTAAAAAGCGTTAGGATACAGCTCAGCGCAAAGATCCTGGGTCAGTGTACAGTACAAAAACAAGACACCTCAAGGAGGTCCCGCAGAAGGAAATGACATGACAGGAAAGCTGAGTAAACAGACTACGGCCTCTGTACCGCGCTTTCACGGTATGTGGGATGATTCAAAACAAAAATGATTACTAGGCCGGGGATACAGCTCAGCGGCACAAGCGCCTACACGGCAAACCCAAGGACCTGAGTTTGATTCCCAATACTCCCCCCAAAAAACCCAGAAAAATGATTACTGATGGGCTTTCAGTATATGTATATTTAATATACAGGACAACATAAAAGGGGAAGAGTAAGGGGTCTACTGATAAATTCTTCTACGTTCTACCTGAAGTAGTAAAATATTAATTTTAAGTAGAACTTTAAAAGGTTAGTTTTCCCAGTATAATCCCTGGAACAACTGAGTTTAAAAATGTACTAAGAGAGGCAGAAAAGAGTAAATTCAATTCAAATGGAACACTAGAAATTATTCAAAAGGCAGACGAGGAAAAAGAAAGGAATAAAAAAAAGAGAACAATAAAAAACCCAATAAAAGTATATGCCTAAATCCAAAAATATCAACAATTACATTAAATGTAATTGTTCCCCACACACAAAATATAGAGTATGAAAACATTTTAAAATAATACCCTTGGGCTGGGGATATAGCTCAGCAGCACAAGCGCCTGCCTGGCAAGCGCAGGGTGCCGTGTTCAATTCCCAGTACCAAAGGAAAAAATAATAATAATAATAATAATAATAATACCCAATGACATGCTGCTTATAAGAACCCTAATTGAAATACAATGAAATAGAGACATTAAAAGTAAAAAAAATAGGAAAACAGTATTATAACAGAAAATCCCCCCCCCCAACCAATACAGTTCAGTTGCTTAGTTGCCCAGGTGACAGCTCCTGTTCCAGTTCCGGTTGCTCCTGTCTCTTAGATACGGCTGGTCACTG